TTGGGCTCACGCCCGCCATGTTCTTCAATAACTTTCGCCACATCGGAATGGTGTTGCGCCGTTCCGCCATACCTGTCAGAGGTGGCAGGGTGCCACAAAACGATGACAAAATGAAATGTTGAAATTTCTGTGGTGTCAATCGTCCATACTATTCGTCCTTGATTTTTGTCAGGTCATCTGAAGTCATTATAGCGGGGTAGCGGATATTGTAAGTTATTTTTGAGGGCTAATCGGGAAAATCCGTAATGTCAAATATGGTAAAACATTATTCTACTTTGAAGAAGCGTAAGTATCACAATTTGACTTCCTGAAACAAGATTCAGAGATGGATTACAGTATTGCCTCAAATGCTAAGTGAGCTAGTGGTAGGACAACCACGACGCAGAAGTTCGGCGACTAGCTCAGAGCGCGCCACAGTAACTTCTTCCTTTGACTCTATATCTTTGACTTTGACAATGCCTTTAGCTAGTTCATCACCACCAATAATTACCATGAATGGAGTACCGCGCTCAAGAGCGTAGTGAAGTTGCTTTATGAACTTGGGATTTTCTGTCTGCATCACCTCAGCGGAAATATTTGCAAGCCATAGTTGCTTACACAACTCCAGTCGCGGCATCATCAAGTCGCTACTCGTTGAGGCAACTAATACCTGCGATGGAGCAGTGGACTTTGCAGATTGCTTTTCAGCGTGGGCTTGAAGAATCCCGAAGATGCGCTCAATTCCAAGACTTATACCCACACATGGAATATGTTGGTCCGTAGCCGAAAACATTCCCACTAAGTTATCGTAGCGGCCTCCAGCAGCAATAGAGCCAACGTGGTGCTCCGGGCTCGTTAGCACAAATTCGTAAATTAGACCCGTATAATAGTCCAGACCCCGAGCAAGACTCAAATCCAAGGAAACAAACTCCAGTACACTCATGGCTTCGAGGTGATCAAAGAGCAATGCCAAGTCATTCATTGCACGGCTAGCATTGACATTGTCACCAAACATTTTATTTTGGGAAAGCTGCGCGTGCAACTCGCGTGGCGAGCCCACTTTGCATACAAACGGCTCGATGCGATCGGCAACATCTTCAGGAATGTCCTTTTCTTCCACCATTTCACGGCGCACAACACTCCATGGTTCCTTGTCCAGCTTGTCGATAGCACTGCATGTCGTGAAAAACTTGTTTGAGGGTACACCGCAGATTGAGAGGATGGCATCCAGTAACAAACGGTGACTCAGTTTGACCTTAACAGGGCCAAGCTCTGGAAATTGCTGCAGTACTTCAATCCCGATAGACAGCACTTCAGCGTCAGGAAGCATAGATGCATAGGTACCAGCAATATCAAAGTCACATTGATAAAATTCACGAAAACGACCGCGGGCCATCTGTGGATTGTCACGACGATATACGCGAGCAATGTGATAGCGTTTAATGTTGCCAGGATTATGCATGGCCATAAATCGAGCAAATGGAACAGTCAGATCGTATCGCAACGCCAGCAACTCACCACCTTGGTCAGCCAGGTCATAAATAAGCTTACTATCCTCGCCGTATTTGCCTGTAAGCGTTTCTTTTAACTCGAAAACGGGCGTTTCAATCTCAACACCAGCGTGACGCTTAAAGACCATCCGAATCTTATTGAAAATCTTTTCACGCAAAGCCATTTGGTGTGGCAAGAAGTCTTGTGATCCTTTGGCGATCTTAGGTTTTCGACGAGCTCCCCCACTCCCCAAACGCATAAAGAGATCGTCCAAGAACTGAGCCAAACTTGAGGTGCGCAAGTCAAAGGCCGACCCCTTTACACCAGTCTGCCAGTTGTCTAGACCCATAAGGTACTGACGCACTGCCTGACTTCCAAGACCAAGCTTGAGCTCATCCCTTCCAGATTTTTTTGCATTCATCTTTTCTTGCTGCTTTTCTAGTTTCTTGCGACGTTTTTCAAGAATCTTGATACGTTGCGCCTCTGGCATAGCGGCAAGCTTTTCATCCTCTAAAGCAGCTGCAGCTGCAGCCTTAGCTGCTGCCTCCTGAACCTTTGCGCTCTTTTCTGCCTCACGCACTTTAATTTGCGCTTCTTCCTCCTCAAAAAAACTCAGTGATGGCACGAGCTCGCGCGAGAGAGCATCCAAAGTGGCATGAATGAGATCAATAGCATTTTCTGTCAAAAAGGCGTCCGGAATCTTGCGGCCCATGACAGACGAGCGGTCAACGCTTCCCTGTAGCAGCACGTGAAGCGCCTCTTTCGTGGCTGATAGCACCGTCTTTAATGCTTGCGGATGAATGCCTGCATTAGCACGTTTGGTTGCAGTACAGTAGCCCAAAGCACTATTCATTTCGGTCTCCACGACCTTATAGGCGCCTAATACGGCGTCACGGGCAGGGCCGTGGTACTGCGGGATACAACGCACGGCAGTAGCAGCGGTCACATCCTCCTTACTGCTATTAACGTACTTGGATCCATCCAGCATCAGTCGAAGGTTTTGCGCCGAGGTCACAATGCCACGATGTGGACGGATCAAATCCACAAAGTCAGCATCAAATGCGGCTAAATCGACACGCAGCGTCTCACACGTGATGGCAGCAACAGCATCAGCCAGAGGAAGCAATGCACGGGCTCCACCGACTACTAAAGACGCCTCAGCTAGCAGCTCAAGCGGGATATTAGTAATGTTCGACTGCTCTACCGGCAAAATACTCATGGGTAGATTCACGGAGGCAATTTGGTCAGGTGTCTTGTCACGATCATTTAATAGCGTTGCCACATATTGGGCATTTTGGATTGATCCAATTCGTAGCAGGCGGTGAAGCAAAAGCACAAGCACAGCACGACGCACGGCTGGCGAATCGGAGATGGGGCTGGGGGCGGAGACAAGTTGCAGCGTGAAAGGGGTCGCCGCGAGCGGTGTCTCAAGGTTTACGTCAAGAGTAACAGATGCGCCTAATGCAGCTATAGTACAAACGTCTGCCACCGAGAGGCGGCCAGCACCGATCACCACACGCTCTGAAGTCATCACTTGTGGGCAATTGGCA